GAAATGAAACCAAAAACTAAATTCGAAAGAAAAAAAATCACCCAGACCGAAAACGACGAAACTGATATTATTAAAATTGTTCCTAAACAATACCTAGTCAATAATGAAATACAGAGCATCGTTGCAGTAGTGAACGGATATCATTCATTTAAATCTTTTCGGATTGGTCACAGATGGGAAATTACAATAATATTGCTGACGAACGTATACGTATAGATTATTTGATAAATGGTAGTTACTTTAATATTACGAGTCCACGGGTGCAATCCTACGAAATTTACACAGTCTACGATGAAAAAAGCGGAGGCGTTCTCAAAAGCGCGGAAAACAAATGATTAAAACGTAAACTATATATATAAATTATATAAAAAAAAATCAACAAAAACAAACCTACAGTTTTCACCTCGTCTATAAAGGATGATATAATTATAACATGAATGACAATAATAAAATAATTAACCGTAAGAGCCCGTGAGGGGGAGGGGAGGGGGCGCTAAGAGTCGAGAGCGAGAGCCTTGGAGTAAACAATAAAAGGAGTTATAGTCGTGGGCGGAAAAGATAGAGCGGCCGTCGTCGTCCGTCGACCGCCGTCGCCACTCAAGGTTGATGAGTGGACGACGTGGCGGGCGGAGACGTATCGTTCGCCGCACCGTGTTTACCGGTGGCGCCGTTCTTGCACGCCTCGTCGGGCTTACAACAAGGCGGCGGCGTCTGCGGTTGAGGCTGCTGCTGCTGTTGCTGTTCCCTCTGTTGCTTGTATTTCCTGTTGAAGAAATACCTGCAGCCACCGTTTGCGGATTTCGCAGGTTTCGGTCTGTCGACGACGGCGGCGGCCGCAACAGTTGGCTGCATCAGCTGATGATTATGATGATGATGATGATGAAGCTGATTCTGCTGCAGATGATCTCTTTCTTCGGCTATACGGGGCAACGATACGTGACCGGCGGCACCACTGCCGACGTCCGCCGAGAACAGTTTGTTCACCTGTGACGACGGCGGCTGTTCGTTTTTACTGGCCGCCGGAACGACGACGGCCTTCTCCTCCGCGTTGGGCGTCGAAGCCGCAGAGTTGTTTTGCAATATTTTCGTCGCCGTCGTGGTAGTAGTGGTGGTAGTACAGGTCTTGGACAGCGGCAAGTTGGCGGCCGCGGCGCCGGGTCCGCGAGCGCACATCGGCGGCGACTTGGTGGTGACCGTGACGCGGGGCGCGTGATGTGTGGTGACCTTGAGCGCGGGATCGCACAGCGGCGAAATAGAATTGGACTTGGTCTCGGCGGTACGTGGGTGCAGCCGGTCGGGAGACAGGGCCCGTCGCAACAGCGGCGATCCCGGTTCCGACGTCTTGCACGGCCGGCCGAACGACGAACCGGCCGTCTTCTTGACGACGACGACGGCGCCGGTACTGATACAACAGCCCGACGGACCGCCACTTCCACCGACGCCGGCCGCCGCACCACACCCTGACGCGGTCACGCCACCGGCCCCCGCCGCCGGGTTGGACGACGTCAGCGACGATGGGCTGTAAGACTGCGTGGTGTTGGAGCTGCCGGGCTGGTGGCCGGACGAGAATGTCAGCGGGCTGGGCGACCGCGTGGGAGACTGCGGCAGCGGCGACGGAGACGGGGTCCGGGCCAGCGGAGACAGCGGAATATGGCCGACGGACTTGCGCCGGTTCGGTGAGTGCAGGTTTTTGGTGGCCGAGTGCAGTTTGTGCTTGAGCCCGTGCAGCGTGGACGGTCGCTGGTACGGCGTGGGCGAGTTGGGCGTCACCGTCGGCGACGAGTTGGCCGACGAGCTCGACGAGCTAGTCGAAGACGAGTAGTCCGCGGACGTCGACGACACAGCAACCGCAGCTGCTGCCACCGAATCCTGCGCGACGACTCCGGCTGGCGATCGGTTTCCCATGATGGTCAGCTGTGAACAAACGACGACAGACTGTTAATATCATTGAAAATAGCACGTAGCTGAAGACGTCTAAAGACGTGTACAAATACTTCATAGTGCGTGTCTTCATGATTTAAATCAGTTTCAAAATGTAAGCCCTACGTTCATAATCGTAATAACTAGGAGTAGCGGTTGTTACCCCAAACATTTTTTTTAAGTTGCATAAAAGTCAACTTTGCAGTATTATTGGAGTAATTATTGTACTTTATTATTATTTAATAATTCTGTTGACTAAATATTTTCATTATAAATTATTTTTATTGATTCCATCACATATTCTTTAAAATGTCTTGAACATTTGAACTCTATTAATTACTATGCACATAAAATCGATTTATACAATGACGTATTGCAATAATATTATTCGGAAATTATAAGTATTTACTTAACTAGTTATTTATATAAGCATATATTAACAATCGATCAGACCATATTTAACTTTGACACACATACTGCCAGTTTGATTCAAAATAAAATAATTTCTCAAGCTAAGAAATAAGTAAATAAGTTTTATTAATTTTTTAGTAATATTACAAATGTATTTTTTAAGTTTATATAAGGCATATCCAACAGTCAAATTAATAACGGCATATAGGGAATGGTCAAGACATTTTAATTATATTTTTCATTAGTAATTATTATTGATTCCATTTGGTTTTCAAATTTCAACATGTCAAACACACTAGTATCCGCCGTGTACGTACCTGTTGATAATCGGGCGTGCACTTAGTGCTGATTCGCCTGAACAGCGACGACTTTTGACGGCGCCTGCTCTCGCCGGCCGGAATGTCCTTACGCTGCGACCTCTTGTGCCGGTGCGAGTGGTGAGCGAACCCGAGGCCTCTGTGTCTGGCGTTCGATGCCAACTTGCTCTGGCCAGGTTCCCGACGGCGTCCGCCCGTCTTGATAGTCGTGAACTCTAGTGGCGTGGACCGCAGAGTAGCCTTGTCACCGCCTGACAACAGCAACTGCAACACTTGTGTGTGGTTCATCCCCTGGACTTGTTCTCCGTTGACGTGCGTAATCAAGTCACCCGGGCTCAGGCCCGCTTCGAAAGCCGGACTTCCGGAATCCACCGCCTGTAATACCCAAATAATATTATCACAATCATGGGCGCCCATAGGTGCAATTTTAGGGAGGGTTAAAATAAAAAATTCTCAAATTTAAGATAATAATAAGGATTTAATGTTATTTTCACATATAAATGTATAAATACGTATATTCAAAAACATTTTAATAAGTATAGAAAAAAATTGTGTATTAATTCTATACTTATTTCATATCTTAAAAAAGATTTAAAAAATAATTGTCTTGGAAATTAGATAATATTTATTGAGCTACAAAATCATATTTTTTTCAGGGGGAGAGGGAGGCAAGTGCCCCTACTCATACCCAATGGGCGCCCATGAACACACTGTACTGCATATTATGTTGATTTTGTCCGCCGACCAGTTTATAAATAATTACAATTTACAAAAATTCGTTCACAATATGCCGACCCAAAAGCTTAAATACTATCGATCCACATACAGGAAGATTTATATTTCCTCTCCTTTCTTATTTACCCCTATGGAGGTTTTTTCTGAACATATCACATAATATTATTGAGTTTCCTGCTCGCAATGCAAATTTTGGTTCCCATTCGACATGCAGGGTACAAACACATAAAGAAGATTTGGGGTTGAGCACAATTTACACATATGCCATCAATGTTTATACACACATTTATTAAAATAATACAAAACGCCCTACCGAGCAAAACTATAAAACATAATTTTATTGATTATAGCAATCCTAAGTACTTGTTATCACATGCTATTAAAAAGTAAGATATGGCTTGGCCATAAAATAAATTTTTAACATTCCATTCCGGGTAATAAATTAATTCAGTGTTCATGAATGTTTCATATCATAGTCACATTCAATATTAACGTGTCATTTATACATAGTAATATATTCAATTCGATACTAAAACTAAAAAGTTAATAATATACACAAAATTGAATTTTTGGTCTTGGTAAAAAAAAGAAGTCCATTATGTATATGTATATGTATATCAATTGCAAAAAAAAATATCAAAATTAATTTGAATATTTTAAATTTTTGTTTAATATGTAACTGTATACAACATTCCAAGATTCTAAAGAAAGTTCAATAAAAACCATTGCTATTCGTTAAAACTTTGAAGTGAGTATAAAATCAGTGTAATACACTTGATTACATCTACTTATAACATACTAATTACAGAAAAACCAATAATTCTCATTTTTTAGCCAAACTGATCAAATTAGGTAAACATGTAGTATACACATGATACTAAGGAAGTGTGAATTTAATTCTTAATTGAGATATAATTTCTAATACAAATTTGCATAAATCATTAGTTTTTTGAAACAAGTAGCTATTAATAGTTTGACATTTAACAAACACTTAAATATTGCATTCATAAATAAAATGTAAATGATAAAACTGCTTAATAAGGTAAATAATGGAATAGCAATAGGAGCGTTCTTATATGTTTGGTAGAACATGTAAGATTTATTTTTAATAGCTTGAAAAATATTAAACTTTAGCTTATTGCGCATTTTCAAAAACCCTTTTTTTTGTATGTAAATAATATATAATATACATTATAAAATGTCCATTTAAAAATTATGTCCATAGTTAAAGGTCTATGTATTAGGTACATGATTCAACGTTTACTAACCAATTTAATCATAAATATTGTAGTATTTGATGACGTAAGTATGTATAATCACTTTAAACTCATTGAAAATACACTCGAGAGAAACAATGTTCTCAATGTGACAAATTGAATACTCATGTATAAAAACTGAGTTATATTGGGATTTACAAGTGGTTTTTTACTGAATTATATTTAATTACATACACGCATACAGCTTATGAGAAGATAACATATATAGATAAATGTTTTGACAAACACATTTACATACCATTACTAAATGGTGCATAGTATAGAAATCACTATCTCCAAAGTATACACGAATAGTATTAACTGTAAACCCGAAGCCAGAAGGACCTCTGCGCAATATAATTGGTGGCTTCAAGCTGGTAATTAAAGGTACATCGCGACAGGGCGAATTCAATGCACTACATGATCCTGGAGACTTCATTTGCAATCCATTGTTACTGGATTCTATAATAAAGGGTAAGTAAAAATTAAATTGTTTACCTTACAATAACACATATTCACTAATCATTGTATACAAACCAGGAGGTATCATCAGAGACAATCCGGTGGCTGAAAAACTCTTAATGACAGATCTTGCCCGTTGACCACCAAGAGTATTGCTTTTGTGATTTTTCGACATGCTTGAAGTACTTGGTGAGGGTGGTAAAGTGGGACATAGATTAGCAGTCACAGGTAAACTTAGGAATTCCTCTTGTTTTTCTGATGAAGGATCATCAGACTCATTTTCGGATAAGCTTCTCAGTTGCCTGAAAAACAAAAAACATAATGCATTGTTGAAGACTCATTGTTGAATATGGTTTTCAAATAAAATTAGCATAAGGTGACAAACAAAAAATTATTTTAGGTAGTTTATGAATAAAACTTAATTTGGCCATTAATCAAAATAATCCAATCAACACCATACACTGATAACAAAATGATTGAATAGTTCAGGAAAAAAAAATAGTAACAAAGTAAAATACAATTTTATTTTATAAACAACAATGTTTGTTTTTACTTTAATAAAGTGATAGGCAGGGTTTAGAACACCATACCTATATTAAAACTTCAAATATTTGTGTAGAAAGTAAAAGCAAAAAGTAATTAATGTTCATGTATTACTATGTAAATAATTTAATAAATATATGTAGCTGTTCTAAATTATAAACTTTAATGTATATACATTTCATAATAACCAAATACTAAGAAAATTTTTAATTTTTAATGAATAAAACTAAATAAGTTTATGAGATAAGAGTGGTAGAAAGTTGTTAACTACTTTCCAATAAACCAGAAATTTTGTATCATTGAAAAATCACAACTTATACTTTTTTTAAATCAATTTTACTATATATTGACAAAATGCTGCAGTGAAGAATTGCTTATTATTTATTTATTAAGTTTTTCACTGTAGTTGATATTTATTTATACGTTTAGTCTTTGTAATGATATTCATAACAAATTATTTAACAATGAATGTTATAAAAGGTCTATGGTATTATGTATTTAGTATTTTACACCAATTGGGAATGAAAATAATGCATTTATCATTTAACACCTTTTAGAGTTTTGGCAAAGTTAAACTCCTAGGATTAAACAAATTATTTTTATATCACATTTTATTCGATGTCCAAGGTTAGGTTTGATAGATAAAAAATAGAATTTGAATGAGATTATCTTTAATAGCATGTTGGCGAGGCATCTGTTACTTGTATTGTAGTTTTGCACATTTACAGTAATATAGGCAAAAATTGTATTGTATTCTATTATGTTGTAGCCAAGCTGTTGAAATACTTTAAATTGTTTATGGATAACATGTTATAAAGAAAACTAAATACAAATTAATGTAAGACTCTTGCTATATGATTTGAATTTAAGTTTTATAAGTTGTAACCTAATAATCATATTAAAACTAATAATAATATTTTTTATTATAACATTACATTAGATTAAAACTTAAATCATTGTTACACTATGTTATAGATACTTCATTTAAACTGTTTAACTACAATAAAAAAAAACTACTGTTATAGTAAATATGTTTGACTGAAATGATAGATGTTATATGATTTCTTCTGAAGTTAAATTAAAAGTATAAAAATTTCAACGAATAGAAGTTTAAAAAAATCTATTTTAACTCAACTAATTATTTAAAGACAAGGTACAACTACAGAAAAAAAAAATGAAAAACATTTTTATGTTTAAAAAAATAAAGAATGGTGGAGAGGAAAAAGCAACCATAGATAAAACAATTCCAACAATGTATAAAATAGTATGTATAACGGATTATTAAATATATCTCATATCTTATATCTTATATTATATTCTACTAATTCAAAATAACATTTTCTTCAGTAGTTTATTTTTCAATTGAAATTACACAAAATAATATAATGTATAAATAACAATTGTGTATAATTTAATACTATGTTTACAGATTTCACTGAACAATTGAGGGAAGATAATCTGAAACTCATCCATAATTTAACAGTATTCAAATAATATTAGTACATTAATATTAAATAAAATGTACTGTTAAAACTATTAGAAGATACAATGAATCAATTCAGAGGATATTTTATCTTTATATTAGTATTACAATCACCACTATATTATTCAACTGAATTTATAAAAAAATTATTGGTAGAATCGTATTAAACTGGGTTAAAATCTAAATGGTAAATTAAAAACCAAGATGTTTAATTAATAGTTTTTTAAAAAATAAAATATTTCTGTTAATTGAATATGAATTTTTTACAGTATAATTTGTTTACTCAAATTTTGTATTTTAATTTGTTAAATTTGCCTAAAATGTATTAAGCATTCACTTAACATTTTTCAAAATATTAATTTTCTAAATATTAAATGATAAAAATAGATGATGGAAGAAAAATTATTATTATAAATACGTATTAAAAATAATCAGTGAATTGTGAGTAAACAATCAATACCTACTCTAAAAAACAAATTTCAAGTGTACACTGAGGCACAGATTAGATAAGCAGCTAATAAAGCATCACTGAACGTTAACATTTGAAATAAACTTCAAATATACTTATATATGACAAAATATGTATATAATCTAATTTAAAAACATGTGATAAAAATTTAAATTACCATTGTTTAGACTTTAGAGTACTTAGTTCATTAATTAATCCAAGATATAATAATTATAACAGTTTATTACATTATATTATTTAATGTGCATTCACTGTGCATTCACTGTGTGGTTGATTAAATAAATGAAGAAATAGTTCTTCAATGTTTTATTGATTACAAGAAGCGACTATAACTACAGAACAACAATTCAAATATATATTTGTATATATATATATATATACAATAATTAACAAAAAAAAAAAAGAAATACATAAAACGTATCAGAAGGTATAGGAAATATAAACACGGAGAAAATATAAAAGTAAAAGGACATATCACATAGAGTACCACAATTTAAGAACTCAAGAGTTCTCATAACTCTAGACAATGAGTTAAAAACGGAAATTTTAAGAAGAATAAAAATGGCAAACAAATACTATTTTAGAGCGTTCATATCCAAAACTATGTCTAAAAAAAACTTAACTTAATATGTAAATAACATAAATACATCTTATCATCCTATATGTCTCCGAAACATGGACGCTAAGAAAAACAGAAGAAGTAAGACCGGACATTTCTTAGGAAAAGTATTGAGGCGAATACGCGGCCCATACATTGATGGCCCATTGGCAGACAAACTGGTGAATGGATAATACGCAACTATGAGAAACTTCAAAACCTGTTCCAAAGGCCATGTATAACGAGCAAAATTGTGAAAAATAAGGGGCAGGGCATGTCTGGTGAAAAAATTACACAATGACAAGATTAAGGAGAATCCATTAGGAAGAATACTATTGGACAGGTCTCACCTAAAATGGAAATATTGTACGAAGAGAGGTGTGAAAGCAATAGACCCAAGAGCTAACTAGAGAGATGAAGTAGAAGACAGAGAGATGGGGGAAAATTTGTATTACTAAATGGTCTAAAAGCTGGAAAATATAAATATTTATCAAAACTCGACAGAATAATACACACACGCATATTTAGGATAGCTTATAACAAGCAGTACACCTTTAAAACTTATAAACATTATAAATGTAATTGGTAAATGTCTACATAAAATTATTTTAGTTATAAATATTCAAAATGTAGTGAATACAGTTGTGAATCTAAAGGACTATTTATTCAATACCTTTATAAATTAAAATTTCTAAATTATTATATATTTTTCATTTATTAGAAATATATTATTAAATATAAGGCGAGGATCAAAAAAACACTTTGATTGTATTTAAGCATAAATTTCAAAAAAGTGGCCATTCATTCAAAAATACTCAATGAAAATACAATAAAATTGTTCAAGTTATGTTACTTTTAGTACCAAATAAAATTGTTTATTGTATTCTGCGTATTCTAAAATGTATATAATTGTAATCATTTAAATTTGAAGTTCAATATTATAATTTTTTTATTTTTGATTGATAATTAATTTGTTGATCAATTGTAGTTTATTTATACATTGATCATGCATTACATATAATAATAGTTATACGATTCCAAATATTTTGATATTTAAAGTAAAAACATTAAGGGACAAATCAAATTTAAATATGTATTACGGTTAGATCAACAGTCTAATGATCATAGTTCTTAATATTTATAATTTCAATGGTAATAAATTTATTTGAAACATAAAAAAATGTATTGTTCTAGCACTGATTTTTGAGGTAGATTATACTTAAAGTACAATTTAATTTTTAAAAGTATCAACCATTGAAATAAATTGATCAATTTAACAGATTTATTAATAGTGTTCAAAAAATTCCAAAATATAGAACAATCATGAACTGAAAACAACACTGGAAAAACCAAATTTGAAAATGTTTAAAAAAAATTACCAATTTAGATGTGACAATAATTATAACTTGACTAAAATGAATGTACAAACTGGATATTTAAAAAAAAATAAAATTCATATTATACTAAAAAAAGTAGATGGAAAGCAAATTTTGTTATTAAATTTAAATTTCAAAATAGTATTCCCCAATTCAGAAGATTATAAATGATATTTATTATTAAAGCAGAAAAACTAATAATAAACCACAAATCAATGTTTTTTTTATTTATGATATCATTCATTAATTTTGTAGATGACATTAAATAATGTCATGCGTTTAAAACTTTTTCATCTTGAGTAAATAATACTCATTTTACACATATTATGAAATATATTACTCTCCCGGTTCAAAAAAACATTTTTTAAATCGAAAAAATAAAATAAGAAAAATATTTTCTATATTTTATTATTCAGCACAAGAGTATGATAAATAACATTATAGGCTTACGGAGATCTGTCATCTTCAATCGAAATTGAAAATTTTGGTATACTTTCTTTACTATATAAACGCCGCCTACGACTGATTTGAGTATTTGATTCATTGTCTTCATTTTGTGACTTGTCAATAGTTGTTTTCTTCGCTACAGGTGATTTTAAACTTTCATCGACTGTTTCTCCTTCTGAAGCTGATGTGTCAAACATTCCTAAAATAAAAATATTCCATTTAAAATTAAACCGGTAACTAAAAAAAAATGTATAGTACAGTAATACACATCATTAAACATGTGTATAACCAAATAAAACAGAGTAAAATATGATCTCTCACCAGTATTGATAGATAAAGAATCATCTTTATAGTTTACTGAAGGAGATAATGATGAATATTCATTGCTCATTGATAATTTACTTGCTACTTTTTTGAATTGAGGAGAACAAGATGAAAATGTACCCAAAATCAACGAGTCATCATCTGTATCCTCGTCAATTTCATGGCTGTAACGATCACTTCTGGCTGAAAAAATTACAATTTATTATTAATTTAAAATAAGTACAATATTTCACATTATAATATATGTCATTCTTACAATCAAAATAACTAGTATCTTCTTCATTGCCTAATTGTGGCATAAATTCAGCTTTTTGTCTCAGTAATGAGTTCCAATCAACACCATAGAAATAAGGATGATCTTTAACTTCATGTGATCCACCAGTGCCTAATCGATCTCTAGGATTTTGTTGCAGTAATGACGATATTATATTTTTAGCCTCTGGCTGAATTGGCCATTCGTTTTCATCTGGCCATTCAATATCGTCTATAAAAAACATCATTTTTAGTTAGTTTAAATTCAATCAGTTCCATAACATCAATTAAATGATCTTACCATTGACAGTGTGGGCAAAAAGTTCTTCAGGTGTTTCGCCGAAAAATGGTACACACCCTACTAAAAATTCATACAATATTATTCCCATAGACCACCAATCTACTGGTTTGCCATAACCTTGTCTGAAAATTAATAATATTTTAAATAATGATAATTACATATATTTTCTTAATAAATAATATAAAGTGTGCTGTAGTGAAGTATAGTTGTCTTATTTATATATACCTACATACTATACATACCTTAGGATTACTTCTGGAGCTATATACTCAGGTGTACCAAAAACTTGTTTGTCAGAAAATTGTCTTGTATCTCTGTCCACGTGTACTTCATATAAATTAGTTGCCACTATTACAATAAAAATATTATATTAATTAATACTAATTGAAACAATTATTATTGCATAAGTTTGGAAATAAGTTTCTTACATGACATCAAACCCATTTTGCTTAATCCGAAATCGGTCAGTTTTATATGGCCTAATGCAGTAATTAGAAGACTGAAAAGATAGAACAAAAATGAATTCAAATTCAAATATTTATAGAAGAATTTATTATATACTTGTCAGGTTTTAAGTCACGATGCACAATACCGTAATTATGAAGGTATTCAACGGCAAGTACAGTTTCAGCGAAATAAAATTTTGCCATATCTGGTGGTAAAGGGCCAATATTTTTTAAAAGAGATGCACAATCACCTCCTTCAACATATTCCATTACAAGACAAAGATGTTTCTAGGTACACAATAAAATAATTAACATTTTTTAATATAGTTCATGTTTTAATTATCAAACACTTACCCTTGTTTCAAAACTGCAGTACATAGTGACCACAAATGGATTGTCAGTAAAACTCATGATATCCCGCTCAGCAAATACTTGTTCAATTTGATTACGCAGCATTAAATTATTCTTGATAATTTTCTTCATTGCAAATCTTTGACGAGTTTGTTTATGTCTTACAAGATACACAGCGCCATACGCACCATTAGAGATCAATTTAATTACATCAAAATCGACTTCTGAAGGTGCCTAAAAGTTAATCAACAGATGATTGAAAATTAAGAAATTATAATAATAGAAAATTAATATTTACTTACAGAAGAAAATGTATCTTTTTTGGTACTTTGTTGTTGAGTCTTTTTCATTAAAGACGAAGAATATTCATCTAATTTGTGAAAGTTTACATCAATATCTGAAAAAATATATAGAAATACTTTTAATAAGTTAAGAAAAATACATTATGTGAAATTGAAAAAAATTAATACAAACATACCATCAACTGAGTTACGATTTAATCCTAATTTTCCTATTATATATTGCGGTATTTCATCCTTAATGCCTTGACAGATTTTAGCTTGGCCTTCAGCTTGTTCTAACAGATGATAAAATTCTTCAGGATCGAATTCTAAGCACTCGAGCAACCTAGCTGGTCTAGATATTATTAATAACAATTTTTTCATAGTTCTTGTCAGTAGTGCA